AAAAAAAAAAAAAAAACCCAACAACAAAACCAAGCTACCTTTCTTCTCACCCTCGGCCTATCTAACTTAAAAAACCCCGTCCAAACACATCCTGTTCAGGGCGACCCCACCCTGGGCCCGGTAGTTAAGGAGACCGAACCCCGTAAAAACAAGATTAAAAACTCCAAAACCAGCTCTAAGACCAGAGTAATTCCACTTCCGCCCGTTCACACGGAGGAAAAAAAGCGGGCGACTGGGGGTGCAAAAAAATCAAATCAAAGCAAGCACAGGAAGAGAAGAACGCCCTGAAGGATGCACTGAAACGCCCAGTCTTCATCACTGACTTAAAAAGGAGATTTTTTTGTAAGAGGCTCCGAGAAAATAAGCACACACACCAAAAAAAAAAAAAAAAAAAAAAGGCGCCATAAAATTCAAAGGCCGCAGTCCGGATTACACTCCCGCTACGGGTCCCCTGTCCCTCCCCAAACTCCGGCGACTCCTCTCGCGGGGTGCCCCCACATTTAGGGTGACCAGCACCCCCACCTCCACCTCCAGCAGGGAAGCCCGTCCCCGGCCCGGGAGCCCCCGCCGCCGCCCTGTGCCGAACGTCACAAAATGGCGGCCGCGCCTCTTTGTCTCGTTCTGGCGCCGCCGGGGAGCCCGGCCCAGCCTCGGCTGCCCTCCAGTCCCACCTCCCTCTTACCGTCTCCGGGATCTTACCGAGATCCGGGGTTGGAAATGCGCAGGTTCAAAACCGCACGCTCCCAACAGGGCTTCCCGCTGCCCTCCGACACAGGTCCAGGACACGCGACCAGTAACCCGGCGTCCACGAAATGGCGGACACCGCCTTCCCCTTGCCGCTATTTGTACGCTGTGCTGGTATCACGTGATGGCAGGGCGCGTCCAATGGGAGGCGGCAGAGGCCGTGACGTAACGGATACGAACGCCGCGAGAATCGCGGCCGCGGAGAGCGCGCTCCGGACGTTCCGTCAGGTGGGCGGGGCCAGGGCGTGCCGCGCGCCTGGCGCCGCTTGGACGGCGCCCTCTACGGTGTCCCGCGAGCGTCCTTGGCGCGCAGTTACGTAGCCGCCTCTCCTGCCCTCCGCCTGGGCTGCGGTTGAAGACCAGCGCGGTGGCCGTTAATTACAGAAGCTGAGCAGCGCGCTTAGAAGACGGGCAGAGTCCCTGGCTGTCCGGGCGCGGCGGGCGGTGGCCGCGCGGGGGCCGGGTGTTCCCGCCTCCCCGACTCCTGGCACAGGCGACGGCCACGGCCTCCTTAGCCGGAAGCAGGAACGGGAGGTTGCTGGAAAATACGGAGCTTCGATTCCAAGAGGGGACGCCGGGCCTGGCCGCTGAGCCCCGTGGGGCTCCGCTGGGACCACGCGGCCTGGGGGACGCGGAATACCGGGGACACCCGCTGGGATGTGTGCGGAAGTCGGCGCCTGCCCCTCGCCTGCACAGGCCCGCCAGGAAGTCTGGCCCCTGCCCGCACAGTTACTCCCGGCCAGCCCCCAGCCTAGTCTGATTTAGTGCAGAACGCAGTTGTAGCTGCTCTCGTGAAAAGCGTTAACCAGCCGGGCATGGTGCTGTCATCCCAGCGCTCAGGAGGCTGAGGCAGGAGGATCCTCATGAGTTCCAGGCCAGCCTGAACTGCGTAGCAAGACCCTGTCTCAAAAACAATGCCAAGTATCTGTAGTTGTTCACTCTCCCTTCGCCGAAAGATACGCTAATCATTTTCATATGTATTATCTTGCGCGGATATTTTCTTTTGAAGCCTTACCTCTTATTATGGCTCTTACGAGATATGTAGGCTCCTGGGCAGCGCTAGGAGGCTGAGGCAGGGGTCTGAGCAGTCTGGATGTGATAGTGTGGGCCTGTAATCGCAGCACTTAAGGAGGCTGAGACAGGAGGAGCAGGGCGTGGTGGCACACGCCTGTAATCCCAGCACTCCGGAAGCTGAGGCAGGAGGATTGTTGAGAGTTCGAGACCAGCATGGTCTCCAAAGTGAGCTCAAGGCCAGCCTGAACTGCATAGTGAGACCTTGTCTCAAAAAGACAAAAAAAGGGGGCTGGGGATATAGCTCTGGCGCAAGGGCCAGCCTGGCAAGCACAAGGTCATGAGTTCAATTGGTGGTACTGTTCGATTCTTGGTACCGTTCGATTCCTGGTACCACAAAAGCAAACAAACAAAAACCACACACACAAAAAAAGGAGGCTGAGACAGGGGGACCTATGTGAGTCCAAAGCCAGCCTGGGCTACATAGACCCTATCCCAAAAAACCAAACAAACAAAACATTTGCATTGAGTGATTCGGTTTTTTGGTGGTTGTTTTTTTTTTTTTGAGACAGGATCTTGCTATGTTATTTATGCTGGCCTTGAGCTCACTTTGTAGCCCAGCCTGGCCTTGAACTCACAGGGATACTTGTGCCTCAGCCTCCCAAGTGCTGGGATGACACGCGTGTGCCAGCACACCCGGCTCCATGCCCATCTTGACACCCAGCCAGCCTGGCACACACAAGACAGCCATCAGATGTTCATCAGAAACAAGTAGGTGAGGGGCTGGGGATGTAGTTCAGTGCTGGAGCACATATTTAGCATTTGCAACACCCTAGGTTGCCCAATAAGAAAACGATGATGCTTACATAGAAGCTAAATAACAGTTTATTAAAGCTTAATGTACCTGTTATCCCAGCTATTCAAGAGGCTGAAGCAAGAGGATCACTTGTACTCAACAGTTCGACTCCAGTACGGGCAAGGTAGTGAGACTATGGCCATCAAAACAAAACAAACCAAAAACTAGTAAATGATCACAGGTGTGGTGGTGCATGGGTATAATCCCAGCATTTGGGAGGCTGAGGCAGGAGGATCACCATGAGTTCAAGACTGGCCTGAAGTACGTAGCAATACATAGCAAGACCTTCTCTCAAAAAACAACAAAACAGAACAGTAGAGCTGGGTGTGGTGGCGCACGCCTGTAATCCCAGCACTCCGGAAGCTGAGGCAGGAGGATCATTGCAAGTTCGAGACCAGCCTGGATTACAAAGTGAGCTCAAGGTCAGCCTGAATTGCATAGCGAGACCCTGTCTCAAAAAGACCAGAAGAAAAAAGAAAAAAAAAACAAATAGTAATGTTTAGATGGAAGACAGTTAAGGATTAGTTTTAATTTAAATTAGGCGTTTGTTTCTCTGGTCTCACTTTTCTCTGTTTTTCTTCATTCTTTCCAGGGTCTTTGCACTCATTTAAACTTTTTTTTTTTAAATTTTGAGCCAACTGCTGGTGGAGCAGGCCTGTAATCCCAGCACTCAGGCCACTAGGGTAGGAGGATCACTGCAAATCCAAGGCCCGCCTGAATTTATACAGCAAGATTCTGTCTCAAAAAGCAAAAAGAGCCTAAACCGGGCGTGGTGGCACACGCCTGTAATCCCAGCACTCAGAGGCTGAGGCAGGAGGATTGCTGCAATCCCAGCTCTGGAGAGACCGAGGCAGGAGGATCGTTGTGAGTTCGAGACCAGCCTGGGCTACAAAGTGAGTCTAAGGCCCACCTGAACTGCATAGCGAGACCCTGTCTCAAAAAAAAAAAAAAAAGCAAAAGCCTAAACCATGACTTAAGTTTTACACTTTTATTTGAAATGAGTGCCTCGTTAATGTCCAGTCACTGCTGGGCAGTGATCTGGTCTCTCCCAGTCTGGCTTCTCACAACTACGGAAGTTGTCGGTTTGTGAGCATTCTTGGGCGATTGCACTTTCCTGCCCCGCCCAAACACATCCCCCCTCACCTCCACCATTCACTAATTTTGACCCTGTGTGTATTTTTTTTTCTGGAATTTACCTGAATTATAAAATGTAACAGTCACACTCAAAGCAAATGGAAACTAGGACCCAAAGAAGTTAATTTGCCAGAGGTCACAGAGCGTATAAAGGACAAGGATGAGATTCAGACTCAGCCCGGTCCTGGAGCCTAGTGATCACGGGGTGGAAAGCAGAACTGCCTTGCCTGGAGTCCCCAGATGTCTGCTTTGTTTTTCCGGCTCCGCCCCAGGAGTGAGTTATTGGTCTGGTGCCCTCCCTCCTGGCTGGGCCAGAGGCTGCTTGGTGCTCAAGATGTCCCCCCTCCTGACTTGAGCCAGAGCCTGAGCCTGCTTGGCTGGTATTGCCTTATTTGGTTCTCAGACTGACTCAGAGACTGGGAAGAGTTGTTCGCACAGCTGGGGATGAGAGCTTCCTTTCCTAGAGCCTTGCGGGGGCTCTGGAAATCCCAAGTACAGGGACCAGGGCTTGCCATGGGGCAACCTCAAGAAGCAATTTAAGGGCCAGGGATATAGCTCAGCAGCACAAACGCCTGCCTGGCAAGCTCAACGTTCCGGGTTTGATTCCTGGTACCAAAAAAAGAAAAAAGCAATTTAAGAAGCCAGTGGTATCTGGCATCCCAGTACTCAGGAAGCTGAGGCAGGAGGATTGCTGCGAATTTGAGGCCAGCCTGGGCTACATAGTGAGACCCTGTTTCAAATCCCTCCTTGCCCAAAAAAGAAAGATGCACCTGCGCCTAATTATGCATTTTGATGGGATTCCTCCTTATTTGGCTCTGGTACAGTGGGCTTCCCTGGCTGACTTTTTCTGAGGCAGGGTCTCGCTATACAGTTCAGGCTGGCCTTGAGCTCACTTTGTAGTGCAGTCTGGTCTTGACTTGCAATGATCCTCCTGCCTCAGCCTCCCGAGTGCTAGGATTACAGGCATGCACCATCATGCCGGCTCCCTGGCTTTTTTTTTTGGTACCAGGACTCGAACTCATGACCTCAGGCTCAGGTAAGTGCTTATGCTGTTGAGCTACATCCCTGACCCTAGAATCTTGAATTTTTTATGGGTTTTTTTTTTTTTGGTGCCAGGAATCGAACTCAGGACCTTGCGCTCGCCAGGCAGGCGCTTATGCCACTGAACTATATCCCCAGCCCCCTGGCTGACTTTCTGACTTGCATGCTGATGTCCAGTTTATAGCTAAGGAACTCAAGCCAGACGGTGAGAGCTGTCCTTGTTCAGCAAGTGCTTCTCTTTCTTTTTTTTTGTCTTTTTGAGACAGGGTCTTGCTCTGCAGTTCAGGCTGGCCTTGAGCTCACTCTGTAGCCCAGGATGGTCTTGAACTTGAAATGATCCTCCTGCCTCAGCCTCCCAAGTAGCATGTGCTTCTATGTACCTGTAGAGAGCTGGGTGTGGTGGTGCATGCCTGTAATCCCAGCACTTGGTAGGCTGAGGCAGGAGGATCGTTGGGAGTTCGAGACCAGCCTGGACTTCAAAGTGAGCTCAAGGCCAGCCTGAGCTTCGTAGCGAGACCCTGTCTCAAAAAGACAAACAAAACAAAACAAAAGAAACCCCCACCCCCCAAAAAACAAGCCCCATTTCAGCAAGGAGCCCTTAGGGTTCCCTCCTGGGTCTCCCGCCAGACTCATTGACCCTCAGAAGGCCAAGAAATGTCACAGCCCAGAGCCCCAAAACACAAGGCCTGAGGCTGGGCAGAGTCCTGGCATCTCTGCTGTCGGTGCCGCTGCATTTAGATCCGCACATGGCTGCCAGATACCCTGGTTAGAGTCCAACCCAATTTGGGTGCACACTCAGGGTGGTTATTCAAAATACCTCACCCACCTCAGCCCCTAAGCAAGCAGTGCAGGAGGAGGAGGGCAGGAGAGAAGAGGCAGTGCTGGGGGCGGGGGAGAGAAAGGGTTAAACCGGACGGACACCCACCTATCATCCCAGCACTCGGGAGGCTGAGGCAGGAGGGTCCTCAAGAGTTCAAGGCCAGTCCGGTCTACATAGGGAGACCCTGTCTGAAAAAACAAACAATAGGGGCTGGGAATTTAGC